AGCAAAGATTTGAAAAAGGATTTTTCCATCACTTGGCAACAAGCCAAGGAAATTATAAGGAAATGTCCTACTTGTTCTATATACAACCAAACTCCACTACCTGCAGGAAGTAACCCAAATGGTACTCAAAGGATTGAAATCTGGCAAATGGATATGTTTCATTTTGTAGAATTTGGAAAACTAAAGTGATGTGCACCACATCATTGATATCTATTCAGGATTTTAATGGGCAAGTGCTTTGAGCCCTGAAATCATACATTTGCTAGATGTTATGGCCATCATGGGTATACCTGTACAAATTATGACTGACAATGCTCCAGCATATGTCTCTAGTTAAATGGAACAGTTTTTTTTACTCATTACAATATAAAGCATATTACAGGTGAACCACATAATCCTACAGGGCAAGCGGTTATAGAAAGATCAAATTGATCTCTAAAGGGTGTGCTAAATAAACAGAAAGGGGTAATAAATGTCCCTAGAAATAGATTACATAATGCTTTATTAACTTTGAATATTCTAAATGCTAATGAGAAAGGAACAACAACTGTAGAAAGACATTGGATAATAGAAAAAAAAATACAGAGTTAAATCATCCTGTATACTTTAAAGATTTGCTGACCTCAAAATGGAAACCAATATATGTGTTACATTGGAGAAGAGGTTTTGCTTTTGTTTCCTCAGGAGAAGAAAAGCTATGGTCCACCCTCAAAACTGACAAAGGTTTGATTTGAACAAGAGACTTCTTGATTAGATAGTTCATCAAATAGCATGGCTGTTCATTCTAAACTAACTTAACAAGATTAACAAATGCTTCTCATTTGGTCAGCTATAATTTGCCAAAAGGGAACCTCCTCAAAGTTAGAGCTGGGGAAGTGTTTTGTTTTTGTCTTTTCAGGAGAATGAAGGCATCCAGCTAAAGAATCTGAAGACGACTGGACAAAGAGACATGTGAAGAAAAAGAACAAATCATCCAGAAAAAAAAATGTCCCAAGAAAAAGAATAAATTGACCTTTTGGTATATGACATTTTCTTTCTTTCTTTCTCTCTTTCTTTCTCTCTCTCTCTCTCTCTCTCTCTCTCTCTCTCTTTTCTTTCTTTCTTTCTTTCTTTCTTTCTTTCTTTCTTTCTTTCTTTCTTTCTTTCTTTCTTT